TCCTCGGGCCCGCACGTGTGCGCAAGGGAGCCTCTGCGCGCTCTGTGTGTGTGTGTGTGTGTGCATTTCAGCCATGGCTTCATTTCTGAAGATTGTTTCCGAGCCCAGAGCCAAGTCTTGAGTTCAAGTGGGAACTATGCATTCCTTGGGGGTTCGGGGAGAGAGCTCGGGGTCTGAGGCCTCTCCCCAGCACTGTGAATCACTGCCCGGGGAGCCTGCGGGATGGCTCTGTCCCATGGTGAGACTGGCACTCACTGTCTGGGTATTCAAATTAAAGCTGCATGGAGCTGCTTTGCTCTTTGCCGGCCGGCGACTCCTCTCGCTACCGACCTGATGCTGCCATTTCCACACAATGCACGGCCGGGCCCGGGGTGGGGGGAGCCGTGCAAGAACGGAACATCAAACAGGAAAAGCTGGTATTCCCTCCCGAAATCCGCCTTCCTGCTTCCAAGCTAAACAGGCTTCAAAGGGGAGGCTTGTTTGTGCTTCTGCACCAGGCCTGGCTTCTCCATGGCGGGGTCAGCCTCAAGGAGCACGGAGCAGGTTAAAGAGCAAGAGAAACAAACCCGATGCGAAGCTGCACGCTTAACCCCTTGCTGCATCCCCGGGAGGAGCGCCTGGTGCCTCTGGCCCGGCGATGGGGCACAGCCCCAAGGCCTCTGCCCCCGGCAGCCTCACCCCAGGGGATGGCTTCCTCCTGCCCACAGCTGGGTCTCGGTGCTGATGGCTTTCCTGAGGGATGAGGGGAAATTTAACCAACACCTGGCACAGATTGAAGTCTTTGGCTTCAGGGTGCTTCGGCCAGGGGCAGTGGGATGGGAGAGTAATGAAGGTCTCAGTCGTTGCTGCTCCTCCTACCTGCGGCAGGGCAGGGCACGGCAGCCCAGGCTCCTTTTGCAGGTTGAGGGCAGCAGCATTTTGGACAGGCCCAGGAGCAGGGTTTTCAGCTCTCCCATATCTGCTGCTGAGGTTCGGATGGAGAAGCCTCTCACCAACCCCAGGAGTGCAGCAAGAGGCAGAGCCAGGGCTTGCAGGGCAGGCACCAGCCCTTTCGGGTGGTAACACAGCTCTGCAGCCCCCAGGGCTGCCCGGGCTCTGCCGGTGCTTCCTGCCCTTCACCTCCACACTGCGATGCCCAGCCATGGCACATCTCAGCAGCTCCTGTGCCAAGCTGGGCAGGCGGCCAACCCTGCTCCCCCATCCAGGGGTCCCGACCCCTGCCCAAGGGGTCCCAACCCCAGCCCCAGGGATCGTCCCTGAGCTGCTCTGTTCACCCCGTGGGGAAGGGCGGCAGCTGGATGCTGGCTGTGGGGCAGGCAGGGCTGTATGCTGGACACCAGGGGTTGAGAAGCAAGCCCCATGATGGCTTGGAGGGCCAGCAGCCCTGCGGAGATCAGCAGGAGCTCACACCTCGCTGCCTGATGCTGGCGATGCCCACGGGGCAGAGCTGCTCCCAAGGCTGCGGCTGGGGACCACGGGCCAGAGCTGCCCCCAAGGCTGCGCCTGGAATCGAGCAGCCGTGAGGCTCTGCCCCACTCCTGCCCCAGCCCTTCCTGCTGCCCTTGGGGATCCTCCAAAGGCCAGGTTGGCACCAGAGCGACACTGGCCAGAGGAACACTACCTCCAGCCCGGAGCGCGATCAAACACATCAGAGCAAAGGCATGGACCCAAATCCTCCCGCCACCCTGGGAGACCACCCAGCTGCACAGCCGTTATCTGCCAGGGCTCTGCCCCACTCCTGCCCCAGCCCTTCCTGCTGCCCTTGGGGATCCTCCAAAGGCCAGGTTGGCACCAGAGCGACACTGGCCAGAGGAACACTACCTCCAGCCCGGAGCGCGATCAAACACATCAGAGCAAAGGCATGGACCCAAATCCTCCCGCCACCCTGGGAGACCACCCAGCTGCACAGCCGTTATCTGCCAGGGTGAGTGTTTACCAATAACGGGAACCAGCTTGCTGTTTTACTGCGAGCTTTATAAGGATAAAAAGAAGGGCTGGGCTCGAGCAGCTCTGAGACGCCGGGACACAGGCTGGCCATTTGCTCAGCCTGCCTAAGCCCTGGCTTAGGGATAAGCTATCTGCTCTGATTGTTTAACAATTCCTCCTCCTCGGTCCCTCCAAAATTCCCTCCAAATCCCATTTAACACCCTTGTGCCTCTCCCAGGCCCCTGGCACTCCCAAAAACGAGCCAGGAGGAGAGGAGCTTGCTGAGAACCATGGGCAGAAAGGTGGCAGGAAGGTTGACACGGGCCGAAGGAACACTGGCCATGGCTGGGACATGACCGATGCCAGCTCCACCTCTGCTGCCACGAGCCATCCACCCCCAACCACACAGGCACCGTGGGCATGTGAGGCAGGGACGGAGGGAGCAGGCACGGAGGGACAGCCTGTGATGAGGAAAAGGAGCAGCCAAGCCCTACTCACCGATCAGGGGCACCACCAGGATGAATTTCCTGCAGTTCAGCAGCGTTCTCAGGCTGCCGAGGTGGTCGATGAAGCCATTGGTGTCTGGGACCAGGAAGACGGGTCTGATCTCCAGCTCCATCTGCCGCATTTGACTCTGGTCCTTCAGCACAGCCTGGAGGAGAAGGACAAGCGATGAGTAAGGAGGATGTCCACAAGTCCATCCCACCTGCACACCTCAACACCAACTCTTGCACACGTGAGTGGGATGGTGAAGGTCGCCAAGAGAGCACCCTCTAGGAAACAGCCCAGTCCAGGCCCTGGGAAGAATGGCTGGGACTGGCCTTGAAAATGGAGGTGTTTTGGGAACTGTCCCATTTGTGGGACTGGCAGTTGCCAGGATTACCTGCATCAGTGCCAAGAGATCAACCCCGATAGAAAACAGCAGGGAGAAAAAGGGGCTGGAGGAAGGGGGTTCTGGGGAAACAGATGGAAACAGCTCAGGTGACAACAGCCAAAACAAACCAGTTTGGGACACACGCATCCTGCCAACGGCATCTTAAACAGAGAGCCCAAGCAGGCAGCCAGAGGGGAGGGCAGGGATGCTCGGGTGAGTATCTCACTCCCTGTCCCACCAGCTCCTGCACGTGCTTTGCCTTTTCCAGCCCCATCCAGCTGGGAAACCAGGTGGATTCCAGCCCTGCAAACCCACAGCCACGGCCTTGGCTGAGCCCTTCGCACCCACCGGAGACCAGAGGTGCTCACACATCGATGGGAAGGGTCTGCTGGGTCTCACTGGCGACCCTGCGGGGCTGCACCTGGACCTCTGGCCAATGCTGCTGCCAAAAGGGGACCCGAGAGCTCACGTATTACTTTAGCCGCTATCGAAGGACTGGGGCTCTTTAGTAAGTCACAGGCTTAAAAAACTCAGGATGCTATTCTAGTGCTTCCTCTGCTTAAAAATAGCTTCCCTGGACTCGCTGATGTTTGTTGCCTCTAAAAGGAACCGGTCACCCACAGAGCACCGCTGGGGAACACATCCACCACGCGAACCCTGGCGACAGCAGCCCTGCACCCACAAAACGTGCCCTGGGGACACGAGGTGACCACCAAGCCCCTTCTGCCCAATGTTACGGGGAGCTCTCCCTGCCCGGGGTGAGGATTCGAACCCTCCTGTGGTCATGCCGAAGCCTCGGAGGCACCGTGGGATGCTGAGTGGCACGGGCCAGCAGCGGCCATGGAAAAAAGTGGTTTTTTTAATCCATTTCCAAGTGTTGTCATCTGGCTTTAAATCAAGGCAACTCGGTGTTGCCACCTCCCACAAGCGTCTCCAGGCAAGGCAGCAACCATAACCTCACCACGTGTCCCCCACCATAACCCCCCTGCAGCGCCGGGTCTGGGGCTGCTGCCTCCTCGCCACGACGAGGGGGCACATGGGGGTTCTCCCCAGGGTTTTGTTTGCTCACCCCTGGGAGGCACCAGGGGATAAACAAAGGCCTCATCAGCCACCACAGAGACCCGGAGAGAAGCAACACATCCCTTGTGCCACTGCCAAAGCGGGCAACGGCCCTGAAACCATAGGAAGAGGGAGGTGAAACCATGCAGGTGAGTAAAGGCTCATGCCAGCAATGGCCGGTGGCAGGAGGGGACCCCCCAGTGCTCTCTCTCAGGAGCACGGCGCGAGTGGGAAGCTCACCTACGCCTCCGGCCGAGGGGCGTGAGGCGACGGCGCAGGGGAAAGGCGG